AAAAAAAGAAAAGAACAAAAAGTCAAATCTGCTCCTTATTAAGTTGCTGTGTGTGCTTTGTTGCTGAAGACTGCAAAACATCCAAATGAAAATCTAAACTTTGAAATCAGAGGGTGGTTTCACAGCAGGGGTACTGAGTTAAGTAGATAATAGCATATCTATACTGGCTCCTGTTGTTATGGTAATCCAGCTAGGTTTTTAATCTTGTTTTAGGATAAATGCTGCTGGCCTGAGTTGCGTGCGTATATATTTGTAATTTGCAAATGGATAACACAGAGTAATTCCATCCCCACTCACTGTCTGTCTCTGTCCTGCGGTCCTTCCCATAACCCCCCTGCTCTGACAGATGATTTGTGACATCAGAGGACGGCATCAAAGAGGGAGAGGGCGGAGGTCGCCTCCTTGCTGCAGGTTTTGTGTCATCCCGTTCCCATGGAAACACACCCAAGGGAGTGGAGAAGGTGTCCGATTGGACGGGTGAGTGGCTGTGGCGTGTGCTCTTGTGTTGTTGTTGTGGCAATGAAGGTGTGGGTATCTCAGAGAACTGAAGCCGCTGCTGAAAGGATGAGAGAGGGTTTAATCAAAGACAAAAAAAGAAAGAGGAGCAGCATGAGCAGGAAGAGGCTCGACAAAAACAAGGCTCAAGGACTCAAGGTTTTACAATCAGACTAATGCAACTAAGAATTACTAACTGCTGTTTTATTCATAACTCAAGAGAAATTGCTTCAGCGTGCACAGCACCTTTAGTATATTTCAAATGTTGCTTCAGGATGAGAGATCGTAAAAGAAAAGTCAATGTTCAGATGTAAGAGCACAGACTTGCTGTTACATTTTCCTAAAACTTTTCTTTTGCCTGCCAGACCTGTACAAACAAATGCAGCAGCACACTATGATGAACGTTGGGAAATAATACAAGCAGGTGAAGCAGGGCATAATTTTACTGAAACACTCAAACCAGCAATAACTTAGTAGCTTGTCTGAGTAGTGAAAGCCTGTAACAGCATATTCCTCTGTACAAAGTTAAAAAAAAAAAACATTCCACAGAAGGTGCACTGAAGTACATATTATTATTGATGAACCTGGGACAACGTAATTTGTATTAAACCCATAAATAAAGTCATACTTCTTAAAAAAA